ATTCAGGTGTGGCATTCAAAACTCCTCACAGTAGGCTCTGATGGAGAGATATCACATTGTACTTACTTGGCAGTATCACACCTGAGTACAGATTAAATTTATCCATCCATAACACTTTATATTATTGCAGGTTCTAATGCTCCCAAATACTAAGGGAATGTAAATCTGGCATCTTAAATTATTGCCTTATATGTGGAGACTGAGCTTTGCAGTCTGGTTCAGGGGTACACTTTCATAGTCAGTAAGGGACTTTGACTTCAGAATTAGAAAATGGAAATTTAATAACCTGCTTGCCCAAAAAATAAAATAATTCAAACATTAACAATGTATTTTTAAAAAAACCCTAACCCTTTCAAAAACACATTTTTCCACATTTATACATAGTTAGGCACAAAAAGGCTTGGGACAAAGCCTTTGTCCTGTATTCTTCCTTTTTTTCACCCTCCTGATGCTGATGGGCCAAACCATGAGATCTTCACTGGCTCCTCTTCACTAGAGCTCTCCTGTTTTAAGGTGTTACTGTTCCTACCTCATGCTGCTTTTTACCATTCCATCCCCAAAACCAAACTGAGAAAACCCCAGAGCATTCCTCAGCCACCCAGGTGCCAAGTCCACCTCCTCCTCTGCCACCAGACCTTTGACACTGACATGCCAAGCTCTGTTCACCGACCCTGTCACAGGCTGGTGCCACACACCTGCAGAAGCCCATCCTTCCCACTACTGCAGATGCTTTGGCTGTACACAGCTCCCCTTGGCTCTAGGCAAAGATCCAAACACTGCCCTGTTTGCCAGCTGGCTGTCAGAGACCCTTGCACATGATCTTCAGGGTTTTAATTAGTTGTTAGCTGTAAGTGTGCAATCCATTCCCAGGGTAATCACCCAGTGGCAAATATCTTGCCTAGGGAGTTCCTTTCTTACTCAACTCATGCTAAAGATGCCAATAAACACAAGGTGTTCCCTTGAATTTGGAGAGTCCTGGTCTTGACCTAAGAATACCTGAATTTCACTCAGACTACATCAAAGGGAAGAAACCTGAGACCACGAGTAAAAAATTAAAGAAAAAATATGAGAAATACATGACTTTTTTCACATTTTCAATCCAGTTGCAACCCTTAACACATTTACTTTTATAATGCTTACTGTGTAGTTGAAGTATAAAGGATACAATTGAAGTATAAAGGATACAGTTCTTTTTGATGCTTTTATTCATATGCCATTTGTGCTAAAACACTAGGCAGTTTGGGTTTTGTTGTTTCTCACATAGATCAGCTTTTCCATTCTTTTTAGTGGCAAAATTTCCATTTGTTTGATCATTTGTATTTTAATATAAAAAGAACTATGCTAATTCCACATGAATTTCCTTGTTTTACACCTTTCCGTTCTAAACTCAATGAATTTGTCTTCTTGCTTCAGCCACACTCAGACTTTCTATTTCGCTGTGAGATCATATATCACAGCTGAAGGAGTAATTTTAAACTGACATTTGCCTTTTGTAATCCTGTGTGGAATTGCCTAGGTAGCTAAACTTTGTTCAGCCTGTAAGTGAAGCAGGAAGATGCAGATGTCAACAAAGGGGTGGCTCAGTCTCAGGTGGCTCCATACAGAGTTAGATCAGGAGCAGGAGAGGTTTTCCCTGAATGACATGTTGGCTTGGGTGCACCACAAAGCAACAGAAGGACCAGCATTGTGGCTTACCCTCTTGATAGTAAAAGGGTTTTAAAACCATGGGGAAAAAATAAGCTTAGTAGGCCTTGGAAAAATAAATACCCTAAGCACATGAAGAACTTGTACTTTCTAGAACTGCACCTGTGTAGCTACACCATTATAAATGATATAATTGTTAGATGTGATGATTGTTTAGTAATTAAATATAATTACTGTTTAATTGTAAGAATAATCATGAGAAACTGTGGTCAGGGGCCTAAGACAGATCACGAGAAACTCGTGTCAATGTATACAATAGAACAATATAAGTTTAATAATTAATATGTAAGTTATATAAGGATATAATATAAAATAGGTTCAGCTCGAAAGCCATGTGGGAGTCAGATTTGGGTCTGTACCCCTGATTCCCAGAGCTCTCAATAAAAGCACCTGCAGATAATGATATCCTGTGATTATGTGTGTTCCTGAACGCTGACACTGTCATATTACAATACCCTGGCTCTGATAATATCAGTTTAATAATGACACATTATTTGCCTAAAGCACAACTTTTTCATTGATGCTTACTAAATTTCAAATAATCCCTTGTCTGCATACCTTAGGTTTGATATTTAAAACTGATGAGGACTTCAAAGACCAGCTGACAAAGTCATGCTGACATGAATTGTCTCTGAGCCTTAGCAACAGTAAGGCACGCTGAGAACTCATTTTCTAAGCATCTCACATTTGGTGTCTGGAAAAAGTGGAATCTGGTGCCTCTATCACAGAGTTCCTTAGTTACACGTGTCTGAAAGGGGATTGGTTGCAGGCTGCAGAGACACTACCTGTTTTCTTAATCTTAATAAAAGCCAACCAAATGGTGCAAACAGCAGAGAAGTTATTTGCACTCTGGGTCTCTACAGCAGATCTGCACAAAGAAAGGACTTCGAGGTATGATCTATTAAAGCACTGACAGCTTTTAAGGTGAGGTGGAAAGTTCAGCCTCCACAGATGACAATTGTCCTTTGTCACCAGAGAGCTCAGAAAGAGAATTTATTACTCTCAGCCAAAAATTTAAGCTGAACTGGATTCATGTCACCAGAAAGACTGTTTGCACAGTTCTGCTTTAATAGTTACTGTCTTGATACTTGGGTGAGAGACTAATAATATGACATGGTGTACAGAAGCCCTCTCCAATTTATCCACTTGACTTCTCACACCTTTTCTTCCCATCTGAAATCTTGTAACATTCTTAATCAAAGGTCACAGGAGACACTGATATGCAGGCAAACTTTATATATGGCAAGGCAAGGTTATCACATCTGATAAATCCAGGCTTTCTCTAACATTTCAGAATCTCTCAGAAGAGAGAAACTGAACTTGGGGTAATTCCCATTTTCAAGCATATTTATATAGCTACATGCATTCATACTCCTATATTTTTATATATCTACATACACTGTACATATTTGTATAAATTTATGCATATATATTTTAAAATACCATATATACATATATGCACATTTTAATTCAGTAGGTTCTAGGAGGACTACAGCTACTCCCCAGTTAATTTTTTTTTAAGTAACTCAAAAACCAGTCTTGGGAAGCAAAAGAATAAAATTAATACTTCCCATTTGCAATCCAAATGAATAAAATACCTCCATCTTACATTGCAAAACTGAATAATTCATTTCCAAAATAAAAAACCTTTTCAAGTGTGTTTTGAAGTGTTTGTGGGCAAGACATCGTATTTCATTCTGCCCTAGCTTTTGCTGTCTTGCTCAATATGACAAAAGTCACCAGGAAAAGAACAGGAATAAACTGTTGTCTCCTGGAAGATAAATCCTCTCACATCATTGCTGTGAGCCATCTGCCATGCATTTTTAAGCATCTTGCCCCTCACATCAGTATTAAGTGGCTGCAGGGAGCACTCAGCATCCCAGGCAGTTCCCAACCTTGGACAGATTGCTGGAAAACACCACTCTAAGAGCACCTTGCTGGGGTTAATCCAGTAGGAATGACTATGCATTTGGAAAAAAAGGGTCATCAAGTGGTGTGGCTTTTACAATGGTGTCGACTATGGCCTTCAATTACGTTTAGCATGTGAATATGTTACATTTACTACCTGAGGATTTTCAAATAATTTTAGCTTTAAGGGAAGTATTTAGCTGATGGATAGAATAATGCATGCAAAAGGTGAAAAAAATCCCTCCAGCTGGCCTGCCTGGCTCTGGTAGATGGGCAGAAAGGGAATAAAACACATGGGGCTATTTCCTCCACACCCATATTTATATAACCTCCTTCAGCTTCCACTGCTCTGTTCCTTTGAAAGAGCCAAATGATGTCCCCAAAAGCTGGGGATGATCTTAATGGCATTACCACTGTAACAAAATTGGGCTGGTACTAAAAGATCACCATTATTAACCCCTCTTATAATTGGTGAAACAAAACTCTCTCAAGATGCAACAGATAAATAATGGGAAAAATAAGTCTTTTCAGATCAAAATTCTGACAATATCATGTCAACAAGAAAAATACTAGAAAATTTAGGAATATGTATTAGTCTTTTGAGTCTTTGTATCTTCTCTACTTGTCCCATCACACTTTATCATGGACAGTCACTGTAATGCAGACATGCTCATTTAAGCTTTTGTGGGTTTTTTTTTTTTTTTGTTAAGCTTCCTGCTATATTTGTTGCAGAGAAGCCAATTTGTTTTTTTTTTTTCTGTGCAGCACTATTTCAGCTTGTGTCCTCTGTAGCTTTCCTGCTGTCTCTTTTCCTCTCACATTTATAACACCACCTTCCCTTCCACCCCTTACTTTTGGGCTTGTTCTGGTTTGAATGACAAAGAAACGATAAATTCTATTGAGAGTTTTTACAAAAATGTTTCTTCTTCTATTCTGAGGTATTGACCCCATTGTGGCTGAAGGCTCTTTTCAGATCTAAATGGTGCATTTTTTCTAATTTGACCTGCTGTCTCACATGTGTCCTTTAGTAACATGATTTTAGAGCAGAAAAGACATCAAGATCCCCTGTGGGATGTAGAAAAGACCATAACCCTACAAAGTGAGTCTTTCTATTGCCTTTGACTATGTGTGATTTTGGGGATGCTCCTTCTTTCACAGGAACACTGAGTGATGCACAGGATCTCACATTATGTGAAGAAGCATTTCTCAGTAACAAATACGAATTTGACCCCTCTTTTTCAAAGTAAATGACAAAATTCCAGCTGATATTGGCCACAATAGCAGCAGAATAACATTTTGACACTTACACATAGAAAGGAATGTATAGAGACAGGAAATACACAGTCGTATTGAGAAGCACATAAAGCATGTTATAAAGCTCTGGCACAGTAATAACTGAGCTGCTGAGTTTATTTGTGCTATGTCAAAGAAAAATACCATTTCATAAATACATGCAAAGGTTCATGCAGGGGGACATTTGATCCTGGGAAGCTATGTCAGACACAATGGATTCATTTCCTTCTTTTCCATATTTGCCTCAGTTTCCTGGAAAAAAAAAGTGTTTTACTTTGAAGGATAGCCTGTCCATGCTGAATGTTTATTCAAATACTGTAAATACTTACACCCTTTGTTTCAGATGCAGAGACTGTAATTCAAAACCTCATTAAGCAGCCAGTAGACATCTCCATTGCAGGGAACAAGTCATGACATCAAGAAAATCTGATAACTTGTCAAAGAAAAAGTGTACAATGTAGGAACAGTGGCCTTCTTTGCTTCTCCATGACAGAGCAGCACTCGTTATGTGCTCCCCCTTCTTTGACACTGACATCTCTGTTGTCTTGAAGGGAAGGGGTGACATGGGGCAGAAGGCAACACCTGGAGAAACAAAGCAGAAAAGAGAGACAAGACATGGTAATGTGAGTATATCAGTGTGGATGTACATGCATTCTAAAGAGCCAGCAGTGAGCCCTGAATTTGAAGGCAGAGCTGGCAGGGCTGATGAACACACTCAGTACCTGCTCTCAAACAGAGCTGCGCTGCAGAGAGATGGTGGCAATCAATCAGAGTCTCTTGGAACAATTAATGTGAGAGGTGGAAATGCAATATAAAAGGGAAAATAATATGGGGCAAGCAAAAAACTCAGGTGCTCTGGCAATGAACACTACTGTGGTATGATTTCCAATGTAAATAACTGTTTATATCAAAAAGGGGGAAAAAAAAAGGAGTTTAAGCTTTTAAGCTTTTATCCATGCTAGCAACTTTTGCATGTATCTTCTGTTTACATGTGGCTATAGAAATATGAGTGTAAGCATTAATGCATTTATTAACATATGAATGCCCCAAATAGCATAAAATTGATGTAGACAAAAACTCTCTTCCAAAACCAAAAGTATAAGCTTCTTGCAACCCACGAAATAAAATCCAGAGGGAAAAAAAGGAGATACAGATGAGGAAACCAGTATGCTGTGCATACCACTTGTGTGATACCAGGCCTACGTGTCTGTGGCTGGGACTCATATCAGTGTTTCAAAATGTGTGTCAAATAGCTCAGACAAAATCTCTGCACATGGTGGCTGGGGCAGACAGAGAAGCTGAGCCAGCACAGCCTCATTGTGTTGTAGGCTGAGCCAATTCAACAGTATTCCCAGAGTGGCAAAGGCCCTCAAATCTTGGTAACTCTGATAATTGTTTCACTAAATTCATTCACAGTAGGCAAACAGCAGTTTCTTGTGCTGTTTTCGTTCCTGGTGTTCTTCAATAAATTTATTGAACTTCATCTGAGTGAGACAAAAACTCCTTTTGAAATGCATTTCAAAAAAATCTGATTAACCTCTCTTCTACTTCTGGCTCATAAATAACTCTGATGCTCAGAGAAGGCTGCAACCTTCAAGACCGTTCACCCAGCAAGGAGATGACTCCCACCTTCTGGATATGCAAATCTGGGTGCCTAAGCATGCAATATCCTCTCCTTCTTCCATTTAATTTAATACCTCTGATAATATTTTCACATAATAGGCTAAACAATTACAGTGAAATTATATGTTGACATTTTTTATTTTTAATAAGGTTTGTCTTGATTTGAAACATGAAGATAAAAGAAGTTCCTTGAAGCAGAACTCTGTTAATCAGTAAATTTCCCTAATTCACCATAACCGATGTCTCTGTTTATTAGTTTATCAGCCAGGTTATGAAGCCACTGTTTGCAAAATCTGTGAGTAGTCCCATTGGCAAGATAAAATCCTATTAATACAACTGAGGCAGCTGGGGAAAACCAGACAAACTTGGAGCCTTATATTCTTCTATAACAATGCTTTCATACATCAGAAATGAATTAGGATTGTGCCATTCCTCCAGAACTTGTATCTGACTTATTTCAGCTTCACCACTAAACCCTGTCTAAGCCATAACAGAAGTGCAAAGGTGACAAGATGTGGTGACCTTGCTCAGAAGTGTCAGAGAGTTTTCAGAGCTGTTCCAACCAAAACTTATTACTGAAAAGATGCTCTAGAAGTCATAATTCAAGTGTGTCTTCCCAACAGGGGAGAAAAGGTTAAGATAAATAATTGGAGAAATTAAACATCCTCAGAAAGCAGAGGAAAGAAGCAGAATGACAACGAGTTAAAGCATGGCCAGACATCTATACACTGCTGATAAACAAATTCTGTCTTGTTTGCCTCACCCAGAATCAAAAACTCAGATGAGATAAATACTGGAAGCCAAAGCAGGGCCCATTGTCTGTTTCTTAATGTTTTCTTTATGGTGATTATAGACTTGGAATGCCAGGTAAATTTGAACCTGCTTACCACAACACCCATAATTTAATCACAAATTACTTAACAATGATTTTTTTGAGGAGATTTAACTACAAGCTGTCTTTGAGATATGATAACATTCTTCTTGCAGACTCAAACACCTATAAAACAGAAGACTATTTAATTTCTTTTTGATAGGGTTAATTTTCTGCTGGTTTAACTCTTTGAATTACCTTTCCAAGGGCCAGCCCATCACTTGTGCCAGCACAAGGGAAGGAATGTGAGGGTCTGGTGGAGCTGGGAATTTTTTTTCTTCAGAACTCAGTGTCCCTCAGTGCAAGGGCACCATCACACCCTTCTTGGGTTCACCAGACCCAATACAGGCATCACCTCACCCTGGATCCAGGGGAGCTGAAGTTATCTTTAAGGTGGCAATGCTATTTTGTGGAGCCAAGCTTCTGCTGCCTCTCTGTAGGTCAGGGAACTGAATATATTTGGAATGCAAATGAAGACTCAAAATTTAAAAAAAAAATTGCTAATGGGAACTACTTGTGACTTGAAGGTTAGTGCATTGCTGGTATGGTTTTGCAGCTAGGCACCTAAAATGAGAAGGGAGCTAAGAAATACAACTTTGGCAAGAATGAGTTCATGATTTCAGATTGCTCCTTACTATCTAAATAAAAACTTGCCTCACATTTGCAATGAAAGTGTTAATACAATGGTTGCTGTTATCTAGCCTAAAGCTTTTTTTTTAACAGGGTCTAACTAAGCTGCATCACTTTCTCATTTATATTAGAGCCCCCAAAAGTGTCTCCTGGAAACACACTTGAAAGTTATTATTAAAAGTGTTTATATTGTTTTAACCCTGAGTGTCCAAACCCAACTTTATGCCCGGTACTGAGTGCTCCTCTGAACAATTCAAGGGAAATTAATGTTATTTATCCTGAGGCTGAGAAGCAACAGGAGAATTAGCATGCTTGTCACTGTGCTCAAATCCCTGCAAAAGTTGACAATTATATTTGCAAGTATAATTCCAGACTGTCCAGGGAGATGACAGACAAGCAGGTGCAGACTTGCCTGAAAAGGAAGCTGCTTTAAGGCTGCACATGTATCACAAACAGAAGGAATCTCCCCATTTCCTTGGAAAGATTTTAAGGACACGGTTTAATGTATTGTTTGACACAAACCTGAGTAAATTAAAGAAGAGAGGTAACAGAAGGCAAGTGAAGTATTAGCCTGTACATTCTTTCCAAGCCTTCTGCTAGCCAAGCAGGAATAGCCTTGCTGTCTCCTCTGGAAAACTGGGGAGTTGAACATTCACATTATAAAGCAATGAAAGAAGGGCACTTACTATAATTATTCAGGGAAAACACTTATGGTACTGGAATTCACTAGCAAGGAACAGCTTTTGTAGCTGGCTAAAAGCAGGAGGGGAGCTTGACAGAGGCCGTTTTGGCAGAAAAACTAGATGTTATGTTCAGTGTACTCTGAACAAGTGCTTGGCACACAAAGTGAACTCAGTTGAGTGTATTCAAGAAGCAGCAAGCTGTGAAATGTGTGTTTAGCTTAGTAGATTGGCAACAGTGGCTTCAGTCAAAGAAAGGACCACCTAGCTTCTCCTGTTTGGAGGTCTTACCTACTACAGTTTGTCACAGACAGATTATATACTGTTCACCTAATTGGTTTTTTTCCTCCTGTAATCTGTCCATTAATATCGGCAGGGTTGATTTTCCAGCAGAACGTTTATATTAGTCAGAAATTAATTAACTTGGCAAACCTCATTTCTCAAATTGTCGCTGCAGACCATGCTACATTTCTGCTTAGTCATCTGTCTAGCATGGGTTTTTACCCCTGACAGAGTCAAGGCCATGGCCACGGAGGTTAAAATGTGCCCCTAGCATTGCTGAGGATCTGGGAGCCAAGCAGAAAGGTTTTACACCCCAAATTTATGTTTTGTTGTTGTCGGGTTTCCCCTGCCTTGGAAAAAATCTCTACTGAGAATATTCATAGCAAAGGTTTGAGAAAACTAGACTAATAACAAATAAAACAAGTCTTTCTTATTTAACAGCATGCTTTCAAAAAAAAAAAAAAAACATAGCTCTGTAGGATTTTTTTTGGTTTCTGTAAAAGAGGCAAATATTTTTCTACAAAATTTTATCTCACTTTCTCAAGTGTCCAATGTTATGATTAGATGCATTTCTAGAGTTATCTATTGATTCTGAATTATTAACTAGGCTACAAGAACTAGTTACATCTGCACTTTAGAGATAGATATTCTTCTTCAGGATAATATATAACATTTGTCTACTGACAAGCAAGAATTTTATATTTAAAATTTAAAATAATTGAAATACAAATTTTGGATGTACTGTAATAAACTTGTAAATAGATTTATTATTTTAAATGACACTTTCTTTCCAAAGGGGTTGGGGTTTTTTTCCCACCAGTTGAGGAGAAAAAAATATTTTATGAAATTTAAAATATGACACAAAGCTGCACAAGTTCGAATTTCATTTGATTGCATTTTAAATTCCTCTTCACACAAGGTTTTTTAAATTTTTTTTTTTTTTTACTGTCATGATCTTAGTTCTGTCTTCTCTACTCCCCCACAAAGCTTGAAAATATTGGCATAAAATCTGATATTTAAAACCAAAAACCCCTGAAATGTCATCGAGATCCTTCACATTTTCTCTCTTTTTGTGGGCACTGAACTTCTTCAACTCCAAAGACGTATCTCTGGGGCCACTTGATTTAAACATATGCCACAATTTCTCACTTCACTACATGACCCTGACACCTGACTCTAAGAAAAACACCTACTATTAAAAAAGATGTGATGCTATCATGATCTAACAATGATTGATTAAACCCAGACCCGAATTCTAATGAATTTCAAGTGACAGGCAGCTCTGTTTAATGCTGAGATATTGACTCAGCAGTGCTTAGCAATATGAATCTGACATCTGCATTGCTTTGCCATTCTTCTGTACATCCCCAAATTTAACATCCAAATCTGTTTTGGCTTCCTTTGACAAGTCTCTGGCTTTTTAGTGTGTTTATAACATAGTTATAAACTTACAGACCTGCCCTACAACTACATACTTAGCACAGTTTATTCCATCCTTGCACACTATAAGTTATTTATTAATTTATTCCTTATTTGTGAAGCTGATTACTACAAGTGTTTGTATACAATGGAAATCCAATGCAGGCACTATTAAAAATCAGTGCTGTTTGCAGGTTTCTAACTGGTGCAAAATAGAGCTGGCATTCAGGCAACAGGCAGCATCCCGTCACTTAAAATACAATATATTAAGCACAAGATTAGAGCAAACTCCACAAAATATTCAGCACAGTGCATCTTCCCAGGAATTCACTAGGCTCCAGTGCTATTGTCATGACATCTTATG